GTGGGGCAAGGGCGGGCGTCTGATCGCATTTCCGGTGGCATCCAACGCCCACCCATGTCCCCTTGCAAACAAGGGGGTTTTTCCCAAGTCTCCGTAGATGCACACAAGCACCCAACGGAGCATGCGCATTTTTGGTGTACACGACAAAAAAACCCACCCGTTTGCCGCACCGCGCGCTTCTTTGTTGCGCGCAGGATCGTCCTGTGATCAGCACCTCTCCCTTCCCACGGAACCTCCACGGGACCTCCACGAAACCTCCAGGGGAGGTCTGATTGAGTAACTACGCATTAGTTTGCCCCGGGGCAAACAGCCACGCTTCCCCCCCACACACACAGTTTCCTGCCCGTGTGACTGGAGCCAGATTAATATATATGTTTCTAGCAATGTATACACGTACCCATAGTTTGTTGTATTCATTTCTGTTTCTTTTGTTTGGCAAATCAAATGAGAATTATGGCTAGAATTCTACTTTCTTGCTATTACTTGATTTAAGGGCCACTCCATACATTGCATTACATTACCAAACTCCTATCCAGGAATGACTTAAATTATTTTATGGTTATATGCAAGTGTGTGATGGTGCTACCCATGCAAACTGTTCCACGCATACATGTGGAAAGACATCTCATGTTGTAATCTATGTATGGGAATCTTGCTATTTCTTGTATGGAAGTAAGCGTTTAAGAATCTAAAACAGCTGTTTATATTAAGAATTAAGAATGCATAGAAGTACATCAACCCATTAAATGTTTAGATAATGCAAAGAGCAAAAAGCACTTCCTTACTTCACAAAACTTTACCATTAATATGCTATGAACCATGTTAACATACAAATAGCCATTTTCTTCTACAGTGGGTATTTTCTAGACATGCAGCGGAAGGTCAGCTGAAACTGTTCAGGTGGATGAGATAAAGAACAGAGCCATTGTACAAAATATGCAAAAAACCACACGTGCAAAATGCCACACTTTCTGTATCATACCTTATGAGCATGGCAATGTTTATATTATTTACATACTGAGACTGCTACAGCATAATATCTGAGCTCTTTCTGCATGTAAGATAATATAAATAACTCCTAATAAAACCCAACAATGAATGGAATCTAAAGGGGGGGCAGGCGGGGGGAAAAACAGTAAATTTCATGAATAATGAATTCTTTCACCCCAGAATACACAGAACAGTTACCCTATCTACGTGTGCCCTTTGTCCACACCTGATTTGTTGTGACTGGCAGAATTAATTGAACACTCAGGCTGCCTCTTGCCTTCCAACATATCATATGGCTTCTTCAGGAATTAACATCAACACAACAGCAATGGCTGGGATGTCACACCCCAGTCCAGTCAATTCCTTGTTAAGTTGTGTTATCATAACAGACACTTTCTTGTTTCCCCAGCCTATAGTTCTTTGTTTCCAGCTATGCAAGAATGTCAAATAATATACAAACTGGATAAATATAGGTGGCCATTTTACCACATATTGTATCACAATTTTACCACATAAGAAAATAAGAAAAGCCAATATTGGATCAGGCCAATGGCCCATCCAGTCCAATACTCTGTCACACAGTGGTCAAAAATACCAGGTGCCATCAGGAGGTCCAGCAGTGGGGCCAGGACACTAGAAACCCTCCCACTGTTGCCCCCCCCCAAGCACCAAGAATACAGAGCATCCCTTGCTCCAGACTGAGAGTTCCTATCTTTACCTTGTGGCTAATAGCCACTGATGGACCTCTGCTCCATATATTTATCTAATTTCCTCTTGTAGTCGTCCATGCTTGTAGCTGCCACCACCTCCTGTGGCAGTGAATTCCATGTTTTAATCACTCTTTGGGTGAAGAAGTACTTCCTTTTATCTGTTCTAACCCAACTGCTCAGCAATTTCATTGAGTGCCCAGGAGTTCTTGTACTGTGAGAAAGGGAGAAAAGTACTTCTTTCTCTACCTGCTCTATCCCATGCATAATCTTATAAACCTTGATCATGTCAACCCTCACACTTCCATACCTAGCATATAGTAAAATCCTGCTTGCTGCTCTTTGACAGAGTAATACTAGTGATCAATCTACCCCTGCATGACAAACTTCATCCTGGGGTAATTTGGGTAGATGGAGCAATGATAATGACTCCTTCCTTGAAATGTGTGCTACCAACTTCCCATATGCTGAGGAGCACAACTATAAAAAAAATAATTATAGAACAGTGGGATCTCTTAGGGCTAAGTCACACAGTGTATAAAGTTCTTCAAACATACATACACTCCTCACAGACAGTATCTGAATTCTTCCTGAAGATAGTCTTTGGACAATATATATTACTGTACACATAACTACACTTCACACTTATTCAGTCATATGTTTTATATTTTTTGCCTCCCTCTTGTTTGCTGTGATGTTTATATCCCTTTCTTGGTCTGTACTACAAGAGGAGATTTACAAAGCAATGTAATGGCTAGCCTATACTTAATCAAAAGTATTGTAATGGCTATACTTAATAAAAAAATATTAATTTTTTAATTTACTCAAAAACAAATATATATTATTTCATTAAGCACTGGATGTACATTTTCTTTAAAGTTTTAATTAAAAGTAAGCATCAAAATAGCAAAGGAACAGTAAGCTAAATTTCTTTGGCATGATTTGCTAAAGTATCAGTTTTATACCTTTATAGCTCGGTGTAAGCTATTTTAGAAACAAATTTGGAAGCAGGTGTTTTAGAAGGAAAAAGAGGTCTGAAATTAGGCGACAGGAACTGAGTTTGTCAGCATGTCATGTATGTGCCTTGCATGAGTTATTGGGTCTTCCTTTGCCCTCTTCCTCTAAAAATAAAACCCAGATGCCTTCTTTAAACCCAAATGTGTGGTAAAAGCTTTACAGTTGGTCTTCTACATAGTATATAATCGAGATGCACATAAAAAACTGTACTGTCAGAAGTGAAAGTTCAAAAATCTTGTTGCTCTTTTATGGTTTTTGTAAAATACATGCAGTATATATTATTTCAGTTCTGTACAGAATAGATCATAGGTGTGCTGATTTCAGCCTTGTGCTCTTTTAACACTGGAATCCCCATGGTCTACCAATAAACGTTACATTTACAAAGCAAATGTGTATAATCAGGAACTCTTAAAATTTAACTGGTCCCAAGTAGGAATTATTGTCAATAACGTCAGAAATGCCAATAAAGATAAAACCATCTAGTCTAGAATTTTTTGCAAGAATTTCAGATAGTATGCAAATAGTACTTAGTGGAGGGATCTTCAACTTTTCCAGACTCACTGAGCTATGAGTATGTGGCCTCAAGAGTCATGTGATGGGAAGAGGAGGGAGACTGAGTTATGGTCTCACCAGAGTCAAGATGAGGGTTATGGGCAGAAGACTGAAAGAGCTGCAGACAGGAAACACAAGCCAAGAACCAGCAGGTGTACTATAGTGAGGAAAAAGCCAAGGATCAGACCCATGAAGTGAATCCTCTGCACTACCAAATAACCTTACTTTGTTGTCCTGCTACTCTTCTTAGCATGACTGCAAAGAGAAGCAGAAGGCATGGCATTTTGCTATGAGATCCTCCAAAATGGCAGGGAAAAATAGGGGCTCATGACCTAAGAGGAAGGACTCTGCGGCCCACTTGAGGGTTCCTATCAATGGGTTGAAGATAATTGCTTTAGAGTAATAGAGGCTTATATAGTTATCAGAGCCACCGAATTAACTATTTATACCCAGTCAAGTGGATATAAATTGATGTACAAATGAATTACTATTATAAATCAGTATGTTACAGTTACAATGGATTAAAACTGCCTAGTAAACAGAAATAACACATACAGTAAAACAAATACATTCTGAAATGTCACTCCCAACATTTTGTTAAGAAATAAGGCAGGAGATTGTATTTCTTGGCAGTCATACATCTGGAAAATGAGCTTCCCCCCCCCCCAAATAACAACACATATTGGCCTTTTTTTTGTTCCACTATAATGTCCAGTTTGCATGAGAGAATACATTCTACTAAATGTACAGCATTTAAAAGCCCTTTTAAAAAATGAATGCCCTATCCTCATGCTTGGAAAGCTACAATTATCCTAAAATCAAAATCTCACTGCTGTGTTCTTAATTGCTTTGTGCAGATCATGAAGCACAGAATTCCATGCAGTTTCCCTGACAACATATCCCATCAAGATGATTGATGCTGGTGAACAGCTCACTAACTTCTAAGTAGGTCTAGTTCTTCATAGAACTAGACTTAACTTGGGAACCCTGGGAAATGCACGGTATCTCAGACATTGCTCTAGAAGTCACTACTCAGGTTGAGGAAGAGGGAAAGGAGCAAAGATCCCCCCCGTTGTCCCTGAGGTGGTAGACGATGCATATTTCCCAGCCATATACGCATTCAGTGCTACATTTCATAATAGTATATATACCTCTGTGCCTAAGTAGCCTTTCAGAAGAACATCATCCCTTTCACCATTGCCAGAGCACTCCAGTGGCTCTGATGTGCATTTAATGATCTGGAAGGCGTTTACAGTATGAGCACATTTGGCAGAAACACTTGCTTAAACTTCATTGCTATTTGCCATGAAGCCTGCTAAGCAGAGTCATAGTCAGTGAAAAGCACACATGCATTCACCTATACTTAAAGCAAAATAATACTGTCTAAGTGCACAAACACTGTGTTTATCCTTTTTCCAGAATTCTAGTGAATTCTAGTGTCCCCAGAGTTCTATAGTCTTTCCAATTTTCCTGTCTGGTAAACGGAACAGTTTTAAATTGGGATGGGGTTGTACATGCAGTTATTCTGTACATTATTTACAGCTTTCCTGTTCTTATTTATCATTTAAAACTTATGCAAACAGTGTATCTTTAAGTGAATAACAGCTTACATCAAAAGCAGAATTTTTATCATTTACATAGGGGAACCTCATACAAAGAGTAAATCTACTAAGGTGTAATTCTAAGCTACCAAGCTATTTCTGAGAAATGATATTGGAATAAAAAAAACTTTACCATATTTAGGAAGACAGTCTTCTTTCATGTATGGTAACTTCTTTTTTCTTCATTCACCCATAAATGCCAAATCCAAGTCAGCAAAGAAATGTGAAATTCTACTCAGGTTTTCTCTTTTGAGCACCCAGTTTGCTTTTTTTCAGCAAGCTGTGTACCTGTCTCAGTTTTGTTATTGTCTAAGTTGCAACCCAGCAGTGTTAGATCCACGGACCCAAGAAAGCACTGTAAGGGAGAGGTGGGGGAGGGGGAGACCCTCACCGATTTAGACCAAACTCTAAATATAACCCAACCCACTTTCCATGCTGCATTTTCCATGCACTGAAGACAGGCGACCTTGCTGGAAAACTGACCTCTCAGCTTGCCATTCTTTGCAAAGGAGAAATCTAGCGGACAAAATGCAAACAGGCATTTTCTTGCAGCGGGAAAGGATATAGATATAGGCATTATCTATATCCCAAATGCATCCTGCTTCATTTTGGAGTGTGGGCATTATTTGACAACAGGAATGTGCACAGGGGATAGCTGCTTTCAGCATTGGATGTATTCGGTGTCTCCAAGGTTTATGATTCTACAAACAGCATAGCAAATGGAAAATAGGACACAAGTGAATAAGGCTGCCAACTCTGACTTGAGGAATTCCTGGATATTTGGGGGTGGGTGCCTGAAGAAGACAGAATTTGGGGGTGGTTGTGAGCTCAGAAGTGATGCAATACTATAGAATCCACCTGACAAAGCTGTCATTTTCTCCAGGGGAACCGATCTCTGTAGCCTGGAGATCACTTGTAATTCCTGGCAACCCTACAAGCGAAAGTATCGTAACTTGGGGGATTTAATTTCTCTATTGCTAGTCCCATTTAGGTTTTGCAAAACTGCTGTACAGTGAAGAACAAAAATATACAAACAAGCTTTAAAGTGTGAGAAAAACTGGAGATGATTTTTTAAAATGCTGAAGGTAAAAACTGCTGACTGCATACATTAAGTTCTGTGAGTGTCCCGGTGCAAACATGAAATACAGTGTGAGCTGTCACCTGGGAGCATAGCAGGTGAACTAGGGTAGTGTGGCACAGTATGATCCCCATCCCATCCCACACCACACAAATGGACATATTTATGGGGGACTTAAACTATCTTCCAGTTCTGTGCTATCTAATGGTTTTATTGCTTTTGTTATGTTTTATGTGGGCTCTGCCCCTTGTAAGCTGCCCTGAGCCCGCTCGCGGGGAAGGCGGGGTAAAAAGGTCAAAAATAAATAAAAATAAATAAATATGTAAAAAAAATTAATATCCATTGTCACTGTCTAAAAGTTATAATGTCTGCAAGTCAGTTTCAGTTGTGCTTATACCCTGTTTCATTCATTTTCTATTTTTATATTAAAAGGTATATTACACTTTTCTGTTTCACCAATAAAGCTTGATCCTGTGTAGCTGTTTAGAAACTACTATAGGTTCTATGATCTGGGTAAGGCTGGGTAACTCCATTGCATCCAAAGAACTCCCCAGCCAAGTATGGCTTCTCCATTTATTTCAGTGGAGAGAGCCAGAGGGGTGCATGCGTGGAACATCTTCCTATGTTCAAATGAATTGAGACTTCGGCACACACATCTGTGTGTACATGGAATTCTAGGTTGAGGTACATAGTAATAAGGGCAAAATGTACTTAGTTCATGAATTAGATCAATACCCACAACCCAGTCACAGTTTTCAGAATTTGGAGTTTAGTCCTGATGTGTCTACCAAAACAAGAAATGATATACTGTAAAGACTGCTTCAACGTTGGACAGTCCAAGGAGTCATTGCACATTTAGCAAACGGGTTTCTTCCTTAGATGTGTTTAATTTTGTCAGTGTATGCTGAAAGAGTGGGCGGGTATTGCATGTTAGAACACAGTCCAGAGCAAAGATAGGCAGTTAACAGGTGGTGCATTGTTTGCAAAGTGCTATCCTGGAAGCCATTTGTCTACTTTGAGAGTTCTATAACAAGTAATATATAAGCAGATACAGGAGAAGGGGTTATTTACAACTCTGCTTTGGATACACCCCCCTTTCCCCTTTCCAGACCCGCCCTGTCAGGATTTATAAAGAAATGTTAGTTAGCTGTCAAGATTTTCTTGGCAAGCTGCACACTGTACCAAGTTGCTCCATTAGAGTGTACAGAAGGTATCTGGGGAAACAGTTGACTCAGCATATGGGTAGAGCAATACCAATATATTCCAGCGCATAGCAAGGTAGCACTTGGAAATGACTGTTGAACCTACTAGATGATCAGCTATGTAAAATATGAAGTTATCAGTCAACATTTGTTGAAGTATCATTTCTTCATTGACATTAACAGCATCAGAATCGGCATTCTTTGATTGATGGGTTTGTCTCTAGATTCTTCTGATGACGAATCCTTGGAGGAAGCCACTGGACCAAGTAAAGCAGTGGAAGAGCTGCAAACAGCTGCAAACAGCAAGCCTGTTTCTTCAGAGAAAAGGAAACAGGTTGGTTGATTTTCATTACCTGCCAAGAAATGAAGTTTTCACCCCAAATGAAGAAGTGCTGCTTGGCTGGGTGGAAAACCCAAAGTACAGAAAGTCTGTGCACTGTAATAACTATAAATGGCTGTTCTCTTGTCATTGCATAGTATTTTATATGTTACTGTGGTGTAGTGATTAGAGTGTTGGACTGGGCCTGCAATTGCACGGTGCACATTTGTGTAGGTCCTGTCCACATTGATACCACTTCTTTACATGAGTCCCCCACAGCAACAATTCCCCACCACCACTGTAGGGCCTTTTCTGGCAATTGACATATCACTACAATGTTATGTTACAATGACTTATCAGTTGCTAACTTTGGCCTGATTGGTTCACAGGCACTTACTGAGAGCCTTACTGAGACTTAGCTTAATCCTGACTGGCCAGGTATGATCAGGATTCAAATCCATCTTTGTGCATCAAGATGCATAGTTTTTGCTGCATGGGCATCCTTGCTACTTTGCTTTGGAAAGCTGCTTGGCTATTCTCTCCCTGAGCCCAGACTCCTGTCTTCTTTCCTGTCTCAGTTTCCTTGTCGAGGCCCCTTAGCACTGGCGTGTCGAACTCATTTGTTACAAGGGCCAGATCTGACATAAATGTCACTTTGTCAGGTCAGGCCATTTGTGTCATAAAATGTCATGCCAGGCATGGGAAATATAAACTTTATAAAGGACACAGGCAAACCCCATTGTCGATATTATTTTTTTACTCAAAATACAAACATGCTTAAAACATTAACACTCTTAAAGTATTTCCTTAAAGTATCTCCCTGATGCGGTCAAAGCATGTTTATATGGTACCCAAATTGCACGGTGCACATTTGTGTAGGTCCTCTCCACATTGATACCACTTCTTCGCATGAGTCCCTCACAGCAACAATTCCCCATCACCACTGTAGGGCCTTTTCTGGCCTTTTTTTTTTTAAGCAGCAATTGACATATCACTACAATGTTATGTTACAATGACTTATCAGTTGCTAACTTTGGCCTGATTGGTTCACAGGCACTTACTGAGAGCCTTACTGAGACTTAGCTTAATCCTGACTGGCCAGGTATGATCAGGATTCAAATCCATCTTTGTGCATCAAGATGCATAGTTTTTGCTGCATGGGCATCCTTGCTACTTTGCTTTGGAAAGCTGCTTGGCTATTCTCTCCCTGAGCCCAGACTCCTGTCTTCTTTCCTGTCTCAGTTTCCTTGTCGAGGCCCCTTAGCACTGGCGTGTCGAACTCATTTGTTACAAGGGCCAGTTCTGACATAAATGTCACTTTGTCAGGTCAGGCCATTTGTGTCATAAAATGCCTCTGGCAATAAAGGTGATGACCAGTTGCTCGCGGGCCAGATAAGAGCCCTGGCACGTGGGCCGTATGTTTGATACCCCTGCCTTAGCGCCAGCCTCACTTGTCTTAAAGCACATTCAAGTTTTTAAAATGTAATGTGTGCTGATTTTGCACAACTGACACCTGTGAGCCACACAGGGCCTTGTCTTGATTCCCAGGTTCACTGATGCTAATCCAAAGAGCAGATTGGTGGCTAGCAGAATCAGTACAGGTGGCACAGTCTTAATGAGTACTAGAAATCCTTGTATTTGCTGCACTTAGTATATTTCTTCTTAAGGCATCTCGTTTCCCTAGTTCCAGTTCAGCTCACCACTAAATCAGCTGTGGAAAGCTGCCATCCAGACCTAGTGTTAGCTTTTCAGCATCCATCTCAGCTCCTTCCAGGTTCCATCAACGATTTCCTGTGATGACTGGTTTCCCGAACAGAGCGCAATGCACTCTACCCCTCTTGACTCAGCACTTGGCTTGGCCCGACTTTACAGCTTCCCAGTCCCTACAACAACTTTGGGCCACCTTCCTGTATTGGATCTACGCCTGCCTGGACATGATGACAGCCATGATCCTGAAGAGACTGCCAACTCGGCAGCTGTATACCATATGCTCAAGATTGATTTCTGTGCTATCAGTGCAGCATGGGGGCAGCTTTGCATTGGTAGCCTCACCATGAAGGCAGGATCTGAACCAGTGAGACCATCAGTGGGTGTTTCTGCATGTCATAGCCTGTGTCTAAAAGTGGGAAAGACACGGGCAGGTTGCATACATCTGAAATCTTCATGCATGAGCCTTCGACTTCTTCATTATAGATCTGGAAGTGTTTGGTGCACCTCTCTTTTTCTCCCAGTCTCATTCTTTATGCCCTTTAAAGGAAATTCATCATAAAAGTAATTCATTCTACCTCTTTTAAATAGTGAAAGTGGAAAAGCAACTTGAAGAATGACATTAAAACTCTGATAGCTACAGTATTAATCCCGATAAAACCCATACAGGGTTACAGACCACTTTTTAAAACTTTCTTCTGACAAATGAATTTCTTGCTTGAACCTCTGCCACCTCCACACCAGCAGGCCTTATGCCTTATAAGGCCTCCATGGAGTTACATCCCTTACTACCTCTCCTGTTTAGCTGGGGATTCAAGGGATTGAACCTGGGACCTCCTGCATGTCATAATGGCAACTTGAATCAGAGCTATTAAGAAACAGTTCATGTGACGTTTTGCTATATATACACAGGCTCTTGGAGACGTTAAACTTTCCTCAGATGTTTGTATTGAGAAGTAATTTCTAAATACAAGTCTGCTTCCTAGAAGAGGATTTGGAGGGTGTCCAGTCTAATTTTCACCTTTGTAGGACTGGGGATGAAAGGGAAGGCAGCATGGTATAGCCCTATGTCCATCAGATCTTGGAAGCTGAGCAGGGTCAGTAGAATCATAGAACCATAGAAATGGAAGGGACCTCCAGAGTCATCTAATCCAACCCCTTGCTCAATTCCCAGTAGATGGCAAAAAACTTCCAGGATCCCTGGCCAAACTGGCCTGGAGAAAATTGCTTCCTGACCCCAAAGTGGTAATCAGTATTTCCCTGGGCGTGTAAGAAAGGACCATGAGAACTAAGTAGTGATGCAACCCTTCCTGCCCTCCCTCTCATGATCTGCCTCACACAATCAGCACTGCTGTCAGATGGCCACCTGCTTAAAAGCCTCCAAAGAAGGAGAGCCCACCACCTCCCGAGGAAGCCTGTTCCACTGCGGAATCGTTGTCAGGAAGTTCTTCCTAATGTTTAGCCGAAAACTCTTTTGATTTATTCTCAACCCGTTGGTTCTGTTCTGACCTTCTGGGGCAACAGAAAACAACTCTGTACCATCTTCTATATGACAGCCCTTCAAGTACTTGAAGATGGTTATCATATCACCTCTCAATCATCTCCTCTTCAGGCTAAACATAACGAGATCCTTCAACCTTTCCTCATAGGATTTGGTCTCCAGACCCCTCACCATCTTCATTGCCCTCCTCTGGACATGTTCCAACTTGTCTATATCTTTCTTAAATTGTGATGCCTAAAACTGAACACAGTACTCTAGGTGAGGTCTAACCAGAGCAGAGTAAAGCAATACCATCACTTCGTGTGATCTAGACACTATACTTCTGTTGATGCAGCCCCAAATGGCAGTTGCCTTTTTCACTACTGCATCACACTGCTGACTCATGTTCAGTGTATGGTCTACTAAGACCCCTAGATCCTTTTTGCACATACTGCTGCCAAGACAAGTCTCCCCATCCTATAATTATGCATTTGATTTTTCCTACCTAAATGCAGAACTTTACATTTATCTCAATTGAAATTCATTTCAATGATTAACTCATGGAATTCACTGCCACAGGAGGTGGTGGCAGCTACAAGCATGGAGGGAATTAGATTAACATATTGAGCAGAGGTCCGTCAGTGGATATTAGCGACAAGGTATAGATAGGAACTTTGGGGCAAGTCATGCACTGTATTCTTGGTGCTTGGGGGGAGCAACAGTGGGAGGGCTTCTAGTGTCCTGGCCCCACTGGTGGCCCTCCTGATGGCACCTGGTATTTTTGGCCACTGTGTGATAGAGTGTTGGACTAGATGGGCCATTGGCCTGATCCAACCTTGGCTTCTCTTATATTCTTATGTTCTTATTTCCAGCCTGTCAAGGTCATCCTTTATCCTGACTCTGTCTTCTACTGTATTTGCTACCCCTCCCAATTTAGTATCATCTGCAAATTTAATAAACATTCCCTCTATTCCTTCATCCAAATCATATATAAAGATGTTGAACAAAACAGGTCTCAGGACAGATCCTTGAGGCACTCCACTTGTCATTCCAAGAGGATGGGGAACCATTAACTAACACTCTTTGTGTGCAGTCTGTCAACCAGTTCCAGATCCACATAACAGTAATAGGATATAGTAATTGGGTATACTAATAGGAATAGGATCCAAACCACATTTCTCAGGAGTTCTGAGTAATTGGAAGGGAGGTCACCAAGGCTCTGCAGAGGAAAGCACCGACAAAGCACCTCTGCTTCTCACTTGCCTTGAAAAGCCTCTTGCTGGAGTTGCCTGAAACCAGCTGCAACTTGATGACACTTTACATACACACAGGACTGATGACATAATGGTGTCTCTTTTTGCTGGTCTTTGCCTCTCTTTGGTCCTTTGCCTGACTTTTCCATGGGTGCACCCATCTCTTGCCGTACAGCTTTTTTTCAGGATCAGATGTTCCCTGTTGACAGCTTATTTCTCAGGAGTCCCAGGGTTGCTTCTCTTCATCTCTCAACACCAGTTGGGGAGGGTGAAGGAGGAGGCTGTCTATTACATTTGTCAGGCTGGCAAAAAGCAGTCTGTTTCAGGGCTGGGGGGGGAGCCTTTGTCTCCTGCCGGTTTGCTTTACACACACACACACACACACACACAAACACACATCCTTGCAGGCATTCTCTGCTCCTAAACATGGCTAAATAAATCCCAGGCTAAGTACCAAACTAGCTGCTACGGCACAAGGGCCGAATCCTAATTGGCCCCGCAGCTCAGTGGGACCAGGCGATCTTATCCCTACCCCTGCTCCTATTTCAGCACTTGAAAATGTGCAGGAAGGAAACAAGCTCAGCTTGTTCCACTGTGCTGTGTGCTCAGCCCCTTGCAGCTTTTTTTAAATGGCCGAGTTCAGCTCTAAAATGGCATTGGCATCCAGTGGGTCAGACCAATGAATGTTGTAACATCTAGTCTGGCCTTAAAGCTGTTGAATACACAAGATAGTTCAGGGATAGTTGGAGTTTGCAAAATTAGCTTATTTCTTGATCCTGCAGACTTAGAAGGAGACATATGTGCATCTAGAACATGATGTATGAGCAGCCACAATTAAATATGGAGAATCTGTATTCCATGTCTCACATAGCGAGCTTGCTTGTTCTTCCTGTGTGAGATAAGCTTTCCTTATCTTGTGTCACATGTTTATTTCCTTTCTTCTCCTTGTTAAACACCATTACTTCTTTCTGTGTGCAGATTTTACACACCTAAAACTTTTTAAAACAGTTGTCCCAAGTTTTCTTTTATGGAGTCTTTGGTCAGCATAGATAAGCTGTAAATATATTAAAATGACCATGGGGAAAACAATCCAACCCCATGTGTTTGGTTAGCTAAAAATTCTCGCCTGTTGAAATACTCAGTGATTTTTATGCAGCTGTCTGCCCAGATTCCTGTGCTTATATTCTCCATAGACAATCATTTCAGAGATCCATTAGCACTAGAGAGCTGAGCATGAGTTTATTCCAAATGTTTGAGAATTCAAATAGCCTCAGCAAGGGAATGCAGAAAATTCAAAACTTTTTTCAAAAATAATACATTACAAATAGAAAAACTAGATACAGAATTTGCTAGCTACAAGATATTAAAATAATACGTCTCATCTTTCTTGATAGACTGTCAAGATTTTACCGTCCAGTTCCCCTGTGATGATACTTCTGGTAACTGTGGAGAGTAAGGAGCAGCATATTTTGAAATAATATAGTAGCGTTGAAGACCTATATGAATACTGGCTCATCTAGGAATTGTGTATGAGAAGACATAAATTGCTGTTATAAAAAGAGGCATCAGTTTTCAGCCCTAATGCTGTCTTTAAATATTACAGTGGCATTGGTGTTCTACCAATTAAATATTATTGTCACAGTGCTACTGTTCCCATTTTTATATCTCTTGAACATAGGAACCCTCTTGGATTAGACCTGTTGTTCATCTAGTCCAGCATCCTGTCTTTCACAGTGGCCACCTGATATGGAGGGCAAACTTTAATGATACTGCTCTTACAGCTAGTTTGGCTCTGAACAGTGTCACACTAAGACTAAAAAAAGAAAAGAAGGAAATTTATATAATGTGTCTATAGAATGTAAAATTTAGTGATTTTTAATTTTAATTGACTGAGAAAAGAACTTGGCCATTGTCAATGTAATGTTAAAATCCAGCCCTGCTAAAAGAAACCTCAAATTATCCTGTTTGCAGCACCTAGAGTCCTGGATATAGGTTTTTATCCAACAATCTCTTGCATGGAGGGTAAACAATAGAGCACAGTAACCTTCTGGGATTGATATTTGGAAGTTTTCTGCCTCTGAATGTGGAGTTTCCTTTTATTGTTCCAACATTATTTTGTTGGAACTATAAATAAACCTCCATTTAGTCATGAAAACATTTTTAATATACTTTCTTAAGAAATCTGTCTTTCTATGCCGTTTCCACTAAACCAAAATGTGTGTAGGTTGTCTTTATTTTAAAATAAATTATTGCAAACAGGCATGCACACGCGCCTGTTGTACTTTGCATGGCAATACATACACATTTGCAACAAAGCCTCAGTACTACTGCTCAGGGTGAAAGGGAGAGCCAAGGAATATTTTGCCCAAGAAACCTTAATTCAGGAGAGAGATTTCTGAGTATTATTTTTAGAGGGCTGGATAGCAGGTTAAATTGTAAAAAAAAAAAGTTTATTATATGCAGCAGATGGGCAAGAATTCTGGTTTTGTAAGCAAGCTTATCTGTGAACAAAATCTAAAGGACATTTCCCCCCCCCCCACATCTATGCATTTTCTACAATTTTAAGTAATGCTATATCAGATTGTTTAATTCCATGGCAGATTTCATCCACAGTGAGATTCCTTGGCCCCCAAGTTAGGCCAAAAAATAGAAGACAGCTTCAAACTCTTGAGCCGGGAGGCCATAAAATCAACTGTATAACTGTTCCTTTACATACAGCTCAGCAACAAAAAAGTGGCGAGAAATTCTGCAAAGAAAAATGCTGGCATTCAACCTAAAGACATCATGATAAACTGAAGAAAAAGTCATTTCTGAGCAGTGGAGTCCATTTTTCCTGTTCATTTGATAGCCTGTGCAGTTAATGCCAAGCTGTGTTTGTTTCCTTAGTGTTTAAAACTTTCAGTAAGCCAGATGGTTAACAACAGACCTGAATGGATTTGTAGTTCAGTGTTCGTTTATTATGCTACTTGAAAGTAGCCCAAGGGCTGTTTGTTTGTAATTTTTAATTGGCTCTTTTTGTGTAGGAAGAAGTTCCTTCTTATCTCCAGCCACAATATGCTTTACATTTCCTGCAGATCCACACTGATATGAGCAAATATGAGCATGATCTGTAACCTGCAGATAGTTTATCTTTTCATTTTCTAGCAGATCCTGCCAGACAAAACATGTGCCTAATTTTCACACCATCTAGAATATGTTCTAAAGTGTTTTTAATGGTGAAGTAACCCAATCCAAGCACTATTTTTCCCCCAGCATACAGAATGCTTTCTTGGTGCAGAAGAAGAGCAGTCTAAGGATAAAAAAGAAGGTGAAGGAAAGCCAAAGAGGAGAAGAAAGGTACTAACTCTTAATTGACTTTCCAGAGCAATTGTTTTTTTAAAGGTTTTCACATGTATTTACTACTGTAAGATGCTTTTGTAAAACAATGGGATTTTTAGGACAACAGAAGATTGATAACTTTTAAAAAACTTTAATATGGACCACCACCACCACCACCCCGGTTTGGTCACTGTGTCATGTTTAAGCTACTGAAGATGGTTTCAAAAAGAGATAATTTCCTTCCTTCCTTCCTTCCTTCCTTCCTTCCTTCCTTCCTTCCTTCCTTCCTTCCTTCCTTAGAAACTTTTTCCAGTTTCATTATGCTCTATTAATACACTTGAGCCAAAAGATTGTTCAAGAATTCAGTTTTAGAATGTAGAGAAGGATGAAAAATGGCATATTGAGTTGATTATTAGAACATCCATACCCTGCCTTTTCTCGTGGCTCATGGCAGTTTAAAAACAGAAGTTTGCCTTGGTTTGTTTATTTATATTTATATTTGGGAGCCAGTTTGGTGTAGTGGTTAAGTGTGCGGACTCTAATCTGGGAGAATTGGGTTTGATTCCCCACTCCTCCACTTGCAGCTGCTGATGTGACCTTGGGTCAGTCACAAGCTCTGGCACAGCTGTCCTTGAAAAAGAGCAGTTTGTGTCAGAGTTCTCTCAGCCCCACCTACCTCACAGGGTGTCTGTTGTGGGGAGGGGAAGGGAAAGGAGTTTGTAAGCCGCTCTGAGACTCCAAGTGAAGGGCGGGGTATAAATCCAATCTCTTCTCTTCTTCTTCTTCTTATTTATAACCTGCATTTCTCACTGAGACTCAAGGCAGATTACAGAATACAATGTTCTCATAATAGTATAAAACTTCCAATGAACAACACAATAATTCTAGGATTACAGAATTAGAAGACAGTGTGGACAAAAATGCCTAAGGCAAGGTATACTATAAACAGAGTTGTAAGTGGAAGTACAAAGGTAGAAGAAGATGCAGTAAAAGTAGAATAGTTACTGCAGTAGACGACAATCCTATTCCATTATAAAGGGTTCCTCAAAGACAGTTCCATTCTGCTCTAGTTCTAATTTCTTCTGAATATTATCACTATGGCACGTTCTGCAGAATAACAGAAAAGCGGGAGCCTTCCCAGCCTCCTCAAGCAGACCATTTCACAAGGTGGAAACCACTACAGCAAATGCATATGAATGGGCGAATGCTGATCTTACCCACTTGTCCAGTGGCACCTTCAGTTTATAAGTATCTAGTTATCTCAGTACAACTACAGTCCCACATAAGGATATTTTCATATTTCCCTGAGGTCCGTGCATTGCCTTTGCATGTACTCAGAGGCTGTAACTCATCCGTTCCACTTACGGTAGTTCCTGCTCAAAGGTAATTGTATTGTAGTGCAGACTCTCCTTCAGTTTATAAGGTCAATGGGTACCCGAAACCTACCCTAAACACACTCCTGAATATTTTTACAGGTGACACTGAGAATGCCTTTCCTTCTGCAGTGTATCTCTTCTAATCATTGTTAGTGTCATATAGAAAACCAGGTTATGTCAAGCTTCTGAAGTCTTGATCAAGAGCCTTATTCACCTGAGAAGTACAACAAATGCAAAAGGATCTTCACTTCAGAAATGCTATATCAGACTCAAGAAGAGTTATGACTCACCAAGCCAAGCACAGCCTATGAGAAATATCAGCCCCCTCCCTTTTCTTGGCTGCTTGCCTGGGAATCCATAAAACTGAGGTGATTAAGCACCTGGAAGGTTGGTTCAGCCACAAGCTGTACAGACCTACGCTATGTTCCACACAAAAACAGTTGTGGGAATAATAATTATAAGTTTCCTAAGATTATAAGTCCCATGTATGTGATATTCAGAACTTTGGTAGCCCCTGTTTCAATTGTAAATCACTAGAGTGATCATGCATAGAAAATAACCCTTGCCAGTTTTATCATTACTTTTGCCACTGCGGCATTGCTAATGGTGGGACCCGAGTTGAGTTGCGCCTGAGTTGACACTCTTGTTCTGTATTTTGACATGCAGACACTTGTGGAGAATCTTGTTCCATGTGTCAGCCTTCTAAATCTTTGGCAAAACAAGAAGCATCCTGGTCAGAAAGGCAAATGAGTTGCAACAGAGTCATCAGAACTCTGCAACATTGGAAGCAGTAGCTCATAGTGACTGAGTGAAATGTACAATATAGATTGATGTACTGAGGCTATTGACAAGGAGATATTATACTAGATACAGATGTAGTTCTGCATTCATTCTTTTTTTTCTTTGTTTTGAACAATGAGCAGCACATTGAGAGAAAGCAGCTTTTTGATCTGGGTGCCCTATTTTATAACAATTTTAGGGATGGGCACTTTCCAAATTTTGCCCCAAACCGAACCGATCCCATTCCCGGACTGGTTCTCGAACTGAATGACAGCCGGTATGCGAACCTGTTCGCTAGAGACCTCCAACTCGCACAGCCTGTTCCTGGGGTGGCCCTCCATGTGCCCCACAAGTCACAAGCCTGTTGGGTCTGGGGGTATGAGTAGCAGACCCCCAAGATTGGTACTCCCTGGGAAACCGCTTCTGGAGGACTTGTCCAGTGATAGTTTCAGAAAATCCAGAGCAGAACTGGTTCAGCTACAGGAACCCAATTCCCAGAGGACCTCCCCGGGGACCACCCTACCTGGGAAGGTGACAGGGACAGCAGGTGCTCTTTCCCCAGGCTTATTTACCCTTAAACTGCAATGGGATTACCAACCAGGGTAGAACCTCCCACCCAGCCCGGAGCCCGGGGAACACTGGCACAAGGACGGGCGGTGCTCTCTCCCTGGGCCCACCCTCCACCCACTGGCAAGGTGATTCCTGGATGGGCCTGGTGGGACCTCCCCAGGGGGAGGAGAGTTGTAAGCAGACATGGAAGCATGGGCCCTGCAGGGAGGGACCTGGGAGCGTGACGTGATAGTACATTTTCCCCTCTTGCAGCCCTGCGTTCAGGAGATTGGGTGAAGATGACCAACCATGAAACGCTTTTAGGCAATGTTAAGGAGCACCCTAGCCAGGGACAGCTCGGCAGGACCTCCCCCAAGGGGGAGGAGAGACATAAGGAGACATGGAAACGTGGGCCCTGCAGGGAGGGACCCCAGAGCAGGACCCCAGAGCGTGACATGACAGTACGTTTTCTCCTCTAGCAGCCCTGCTTTTGGGGGGTTGGGTGATGACAACCAATGGTGACATGCTTTCAGGCAGAGTTAAGGAGTGCCCCGGCTGGGGACGGGCCCAGCGGGACCTCCCCCAAGGGGGAGGGGAGACGTAAGGAGACATGGAAGCATGGGCCCTCCTGGGAGGGAACTGGGAGCATGATGTGACAGTAAGTTTTCCCCTCTAGCACCCCTGCTTTTGGGGTGTTGGGTGACGATGACCAACCATAAAATGCTCTTAGGCACTGTTAAGGAGTGCCCCCACAGGGGACAGGCCTGGCGGGACCTCCCCCAAGGGGGAGGAGAGATGTAAGGAGGCCTGGAAGGAGAAATGTAAGGAGATGTAGAAGGGTAGCCCCTCCAGGGAGGGACCCAGAAGCGTGGTCCAACTGCCTGGCCGTTGTGGGCAGACGAGTGGGGAGTCCCACCCCCCAGAAGAACTCTTCCCAGCAGGGGCGGTCTTCCACCCAATTGCCAACAGATACACCCTGTCAGCCGCATGGTGGGATCACCCGTGGAGATAGAGGGGGGAAAATGAAGGGGGGATATGAGGAGGGAAGATGAGAAACCGCGGTCTCAATCCACCCCATCCAGAACAGGGTTGTCCAGCATGGATAGATTGACCTTCAGAAAGGACAGCTTGTCTACCCTGGCCAGGTCTAGTCGGGACTGATGCGGGCAAAGGATGTCTCCCATGTGGGAGAACACCCACTCACTCTGGACACTGGTGGACGGGCAGGAGAGCAGACTGGTGGCCATGCTGGTGAGATCTGACCATATGGTGGCCTTGCATGCCCAGTACTCAAGTGGATCCTAGTTGGCGGGCTCAGGGGGCTCGGTCAGGAACTCACGGACCATCACCTCAGCAGAATCCTCCGCCATCGCATGTCTGGTGCCCACACCAGCGCTCTATACCTCCCACCTCACGATGGACATCCAGAACTCCTGGTCCTTGCACCGTCTCCACCCCCCATGACTCCAGCAGCCATTCTTTCATCCCCACTACCTGGGTCTTACATGTGGGGCCATGCGGCGGCCCCAAGCGGGTCGTGGTCACAGGTGTGGGCAGATGGGAAGACAGGGCACTTTGACCACAGGTGGTGGGATATGACCACATTCTCCCACACCGGTGCCCTCCTGCTCAGGTACCTCATCAGCAGCCTCTGCATCAGGTTCCCCTGCAGAGTCAATGGGGCTGGTCTTAGTCACCGGACAAGAGCCCCCCCCCAGTTCCAGGTGGTACATGGGGGCAAAGTACGTGTGAGAGGGAGGACACCACTGTCGCTAATGGTGAGGGCAGTGACGATGGCCAAAGCGTGTCATCTTGTTCCATGCCAGGGGATTCCTGGCTGCAATCTCCTGCCTGTCCTTCAACCATCGGTAGGCCCCCCCATCAGTCCAGGGCCTGAGTCTGGAAAATGGTTATGCCTAAAAAGCACCCCGCTGATGGGCATGGGGGCATGGCTGCAATCTGCTGCATGGAAGTACTTCCGCATCCCACCCGGCGATCCCTGTGTGGTGGAGTGCCAGTTGTGCGGGATACATATTCATTGGCGCAGATATCTGCATCACTTAACCACTAGCATTCTACAGAGGCACTTGTGTTGGTCGCACCCCAATTTCACTCCGCTGGAGGGTGGACCCCCTGAGCCTGCTGCCAGGCATGGGGCGCAGACTCCAAGTCGATTGGAAGAAGGAGGCCAGGAGGGGTGGGCCGAAATGGTGGGGTCTGTGGCCTGCCCCAAAGGTTTCCCCAGGCAAACCACCCTTCAAGAGATCATGCTCATTGGGTCCTCCCAGTGCCTGGAAAGAGGATGAGGGTCAGGGCTCATGAAGCGATCACTAAGCACATCGGACGAATGATCGCCCTGGACGGCCAGCCTTTCTCTCTGGTGGAGGATGTGGGCTTTCAGGAGCTACTACATTGCGTGGCCCCATGGTACACCATTCCCTCTCGGAGGACCATGAGCCAGCGTGTGCTGCTCACCATGTATCAGACTGCGGTGTGTCTGGTGAAAGCTGAGCTAGCCGTGAGGGAGAACCGTCCACCTGATGGCCGACCTTTGGAGCGGCCAGCACCACGGCTACCTCTCCCTCACAGCACATTGGTGGCAACCTGAGGAGTTCCAGGGTGGGCAGGGGGACCCGCCACCCCAAGCGGGGACAGGCACGCTTCCGTCCAGCTACAAGGTGGTGCTCCTCCACGCTCAGGGTATGGATGTGGAGCACACGACGGTGAATATCTCCACAGCCATTCAGAGTAACCTGAAGACCCGAAGACTCAGAAACGTCATCTGGATGGCGCACAAGATTCACCTGGTCGTGAAGGATGGCCTGGGGCTGGGGAGCAATGCCACGGCTGGGGAGGGCACCACCAAAATCAGTTCCCTGCTGGAGAACTGCTGGCGCTTGGCGAGTCACTTCTTGAGAAGCATCAGGGCTTCACGTCTGCTGAGAGAGAGGCAGGGTGAGGCAGCTGAACTGGAGCATGTCCTCCTCTAGGACATTGGCCCCCAGTGGAACTCCACCTATGCCATGATTGCCCATTTGGTGGAGCAGAAAATGGTGGTCCAGGACGTCCTGTCCTCCGTGTCCATCCAGCGGGGGAGGCGAGCTGAGCATCAGCTCCAGTGACTGGCTGACCCTGTCCCAGATTGTGTGCATCCTGAAACCATTTCATTATGCCACCAATGTCCTCTGTGCCCACATGGCCAGCCTGGGGCAAGTCATTCCCCTCATTTGTGGGCTAGATTGGGCGATGGAGTCTGTGCTGGAGCCAGGCCCTGAGGGAACCAAGGTTCTCCCTCGAGTCAGGGCCCTGGTCAACAGGTTGTGCCATGGCATCAAGCAGCACCTGCATCCGTTCCTCAAGGAGCAGGAATTCAGGCTGGCATGCATGTGTGACCCCCGTATCAAGGGAAGCATCACCCTCCAAAGCATGCAGCTTCATCAGTGGAAGCGTGAACTGCATTGCCAGGTGCAGGTGTTTCAACACCATGGCTGGGGCCAGAGACAGCTGAGAGATGTGGGAGATTATGAGGAAGAGGAGGGGGGGCAGGAAGGAGAGGAGAGGGGCAAGGAGAGGTGGAAGATTGGGAGGCGGGGGACGACGAGGGGGGCAAGCTTGTAGAGAGAGGGGAAACATTGCGAGGGTCAGTGGGAGCCTCGTTAGCAGAGGGGGGGCGAAGGCAGGGACTCAACCCACCCAGGGAGAAGGGTTTTCCCCCCTTTCAATGGGGACAGTCGAGGCAAGTCCCCACAGCCAGCAGTCAGAAGAGAGAGGGGGACCCAAAGGCAGAGACTCAACCCACCCAGGGAGAAGGGTTTCTTTATTTTAGAAGGGGCAGTGAAGGCAAGCCCCGGAGTCAGTGTCAAGGACAGTTAGCCCCCCCCCCGAGAAATTGCTTCGAGAGTGGGGTGCCCACTTGCCATGGGAGAGAAGGAACTTCCAAATCCGAGACTGCAGTGACCCAGGCGTCTGCAAACCTCCCCAGGAAACAGTTAGAGAGTGGGGTACCCACTTTCTGGGGCAGAGAGAGAACTCTGAGGTGAGGGACTTCAGCAGCCCTGGGAGGCAGGGTGCAGAAAGGTGAGAAGACCCACAGCCCGTGCCCAGGGGACTTTGTCACCTCCCCGCCCCAGAAGGTGGTTTGAGAGTTGGTTGCTGAGGGGCGAGAGAGAGAGAAGGAACTCTGAGGGAAGAGACTTCACAACCCAGGGAGGCAGGGTGCAGAAAGGGGAGAAGACCCACGCCATGTGCCCAGGGGACTTTGCCAGTGCCAGCTCCCCGCCCCAGAAGGTGGTTTGAGACTTGGTTGTCGAGGGGTGAAGTGGGGGGGGGGGAGAGAAGGAACTCTGAGGTGAGACACTTCACCAACCCAGGAAGGTGGGGTGCAGAAAGAAGAAAAGACCCATAGCCAATGCTAAGGGCAGTCACCAATTTCCCCCTGAGAGTGGTTGGATGGTTGGTCACCAACTGGCCAGGGGAGAGCGAGTGTCATTTTGGGGTGAGCGGAAAACTCAAACTCCACTGCTAGTGGGCAGAGAAAACAGCCACTTGCAGAACCCACAGAAGGGGTGGGGTGACTCCGCTGCTTGACTTGCCAATAAAACCAGCAACAATGGAGTCAAACCGAAAACGCTTTGTGAAAGCAAAAGAATTCAAGCCCAGTTTCCCACCCTTGCAGGGATGAGAGAAAAGGCAGGCGGCGACCAGGCATTGCAGTGGAGAAACACAGAAAGGGGGGAAATGGTGAGAAAAGGGAAGCGGAGGATGTTTTTTGTCTGGCAATTGGTATCGTCACCAGGAGAGCCAGCTGGTTTCTCCACCCACTCCAGCCAGTGGCCCCAGTAAATTTTTCCCCCACCCCAGGCCCACCACAAGATTTTTTCTGTGTGCAAAAGGAACACTGCACTGCAAGAGACCGTGATGCAAAACAAAGGACGGTCATGCACCACCTGGGAATATATACACACACTCCTCCCATTCTGAGGGAGAAGGATGGATGTTTCTGATTGGAAATTGGAGATGCCTGTTGACCTCGGGTGCCCGGCATTGTTCCCTTGACGGCCAAAAAATCCCACCTACACCCAATTTTCGGTGCGAAATGGCGGGGGGGGGGTTTCTCTGGCGAAAGTAGCTGAATGCTTCCGAGCTGAGAGCGTGAAGACCTTCGAGCCACCCAGTGACCCCAGTAAATTCCCCCACCCCACCCCAGGCCCACCACCAGATTTTTTCCATGCACAAAAGGAGCACTGCACTGCAAGAGACTGTGACGCAAAACAAAGGACTGTCACTTGGCACCTGGGAATATATACACACACCCCTCTCATTCCGAGGGAGAAGGATGGACGTCAGCCTCAGGTGCCCAGCATTGGTCCCTTGATGGCCAAAAAATTCCATTCACACCCACTTTTCCGTGTGAAACAGTGGGGGTGGGGTTTCTCTGGCGAAAGTAGCCGAACGCTTCCGAGCTGAGAGTGCAAAGATCGGGCACTGAAGCTTCTGGACATGTGATCTTCGAGCCGGTCCATCCAAGCCCCCCAAAAGGCGATATTCGGCCCGGATTTTGGTTCGGTGTTTGTGTCTGTGCCCATCCCTAAACATTTTTATGTGAAATACATGCCCCCCTCCCCTTTTGTCCTCACAACAATTCTGTGTGGTACGTTGCAGCACAAGAGAAAGACTGGCTGGGTCCCCAGTAAACTTCATGGCATAGTAACAGTTTTATCCTCGATCTCTCCCATTATAGTCCAATATTCCAACCAACTGGTTTGATGAAACTTAATAAAAGCAACTCCAGAAAACCCTTATATCGGCTTCAGTACTTAGGGCTGCCTCATATGCGAAGGTTTCCTGCATGGATATCGATTCTAAATAGGAAAGAGTATGTAGATTGCATGTACGTAATCATGGATGACACATGTGCATATCTATTTTGCGATGCATACATATGTTTTAGCTTCTCACTTCATGTGCATGAAGTGAAAAAAGATGGGTATGTTTGTCATGTGTAAGGGTGTATATAGAGGTCTGCAAGTAAGGGATATCCATGCTGGAAACAGTCACATCTGAGTCTGACATCAATCCTCCCCTCTCTGTGTTTTCCTCAAGAACTTGTTGCACTGGAACTCTATATGAATACAGGGCAGAGTTCTGACATGGACAAGCTGTGAGGAAATCAATGTGGCAAGGATATTATAGTAATTTATAGTACCTAACAATCTTTTCTTTCCCTCCCCTTCTCACTCACACTTAAAAAAAATCTTTTGCTCTTTAGCATCTGGAATGAATTAGAAGGAAAATAATAAAACTTCCTGTGTGAAGAACATTTTCCCAACAGCCCTCTTTGAAGGAAGGGAGTATGTTCAGGTGTCCTTGTTCTTACTCTTGTGGAATTTCTTGTTAATATCAGCATCACCCTCAAGAGGACTATTATTTTCCTGAAGGAATTGAGTGACTCAGTGAATGATGTAATAGCCCCATGAAATAGCAGTTCCCCCCTTCCAAGGCTTTAAGTAAAGTGAGACCCATTGATATTTGTTAGACTCTTATCGTTGGATGCTGTGTTTACTTTTACGAATCATCACTCTAAGAACGACAATCTTTACATACACAGAAGAAAGAGTTTAATCTGTTCAAACTACTAAACACCTTGCAAAACACATATATGGGTGCTGCTGTAGTCTGGTTCCGTACGCACCATTTATGAAGTGGTTGAACTGTTCCTTTCTATTTTAATGGATATTTGAAAACTGTTCACATGGAAATCTGGTGAACATCTGAGCAGGGGTTATCTGGTGTGGGTGTGGGAGATGGGCCTCAAGATCTGCTGTTCTACATTGTACCATGTTCTGCTGCAAGGCACTACAGGGAAGATTCCACATGCCCAAGCCAGTATGCCAAAACTGTGTTTGTGTACCCCAGAAAAGGCAACAGTCATTCAGAAAATGTTTCCCTTTAAATGTTACTCCTCTAAAGCATGCACACCAAATCTTAAAAGTCCCGATCCACGTAGGTGACAGCAGTAAAGGTCTGAAGACCCATTTTTATTATCAAGAATAATTGGGAAATGGATAAATGGATAATTAGCGAGATTACAGAGGATTAAATGCTATGTCAAATGTACCTTTTCTTGTTTCCAGAAGAAAATTTCAGATATTCTTGCAAAATCATCTCCAAAACCTGGAACCCCTGAAGATGTAAAGAAACTGCTTAATGAGCACTTTGGTGCTAAACGTTCCGTGATTGAATTAGAAGAATTAAAGCTACCAGGTAACAAAAGGGCTGCATCAAAGAAGTACCAGCTGGAAGAATAAGAGCTTTCAAAAATATCTACTTGTAACAAAATGCTAACTGACAATTTTACTTCCTTAAAAAAGTAGTAAACGTCTGGGTCCTAATTTGCCCCTGGATTTTAAACATTTATAAACATTTCCTTGCTATTAATACCAGTTCATATTTACATGGGATTAAGGTAAAGTTTTTAATCCTGGTTTGGGGAAAGGAAAAAAAATGTCCCCTGCTTGCATTTGAATGTTATGGGAAATCCCAGATTGACTCAAGGGTTCCGAAACCAGGAATCTTTCAGTCGCACCAGAGAAAGGAGGGACGCATGAGAGCACAACCAAGCTGTGTTTGCATCCTACACAACCAGACACAGCTTTATAGTGAGATCTGATTGTGGCCTATGTGACATGGACATTTTGGGAGAACTTCTGCAGAAACACAGTGGTGAAACAATAGGCATCTCTCTTTTTTAACCAATTGTTGGAAACACAGAGATCTAGGATTTGCAGAGGTGCGATTTTCTTGAGTCAATCTGTACAGTTTGTGGCCTTGATTCAGACTTTAAAGGAGGGGAAGTAACAAACATTCTATAACCTGTCAAGCTGGTTATGCACTTCTGTAGTTAGGGATAAGTAAGGAGGGGTTTGTACAATGAGATAATTGTGGAAGGAAATTGACATTGGGCTAAAAATTGTTCCCATCATTTGGTTAATCTGTTTTAAAGCTTCTGACTTTTGCCTATGAGTGCTTATGTAACTCTGTCTTCCCAAAGAGCATTTTGCCTGGCTTTCAGCAAATACACATTCTTGGAAGCTTTAAGGTATTAGTTTTAGCATCCAGCAACAATAGCCTTCTCTCTCTCTGGTTTCAGATGCCTGTTTCCTCCTTCCCAATGACCTCACCCACAGTTTTTCTTCCTACCTGAAGGAAAGTAAGTAACCTTTAGCCTGTTTGTAATACAAATATTCATCTCTTTTCTTAAATTAGTAAAATCGGTATTTTTGTAACTATTCTTTTAAAGAAGTGTTTGATATTCTGTCTTCTTGAATAAATGTTTTAACATTGTTTCTAACCCACCAACATTTTACAGCAAAAAAACTGTACTCTCTGTTTAGCAGCGTCATGTTGCTTTAAGAGCCTTGTGCCACTGAGATGTTGGCTAGTGTATTGGTGGTGTTTTCTCACTGAAACAGTCTGGTGGACTCTCCTGCCTTCTGTCCCTGATGCCACAGTACATGAGGATAAACAAAGGGCCCAACTGGGCAAGGCTGTGACTGGATTTCTAACTACTTTTTGAAAAAGTAAGGAACAGCCGATTTGGATTGGTGCCCCATGTTAATCCCTTCCCCTGTGCCATTTTCCCAGGGCAGATCACATGTACACACATCAGATATGCTGTTTGCCCCAAAGGGAAGTGTTTACTGCTTACAGTAAAAACCACAATAAAACAGTCCTGTGATCCGTGGTCTTCTTCATTGATGCCTCTTAACATTTATAATCATTCTACTCAGCCATACAGTTTGCGGCCACCCCACTGCACGTGGCAAACTGAAAAGGCTTCTCCAGTGGTGTACCTGGCATATTTGGTGCCCAGGTCAGATAATTTTTTAACACCCCCTCCTCTTTTATTTCTACCATTAAGTCACGGTTTACTTAGGGCAACCCCCGCAGAGTCTCCAAGGCAAGAGACGTTTGGAGGTGGTCTGCCACTCCCTGCCTCCACATCGGCCCTGCTTAGCTTCTGAGCACTGACGAGATCAGGCTAGGCTGGGGCTATCCAGGCTGTGGCCTCTCCTCTGTTTGACAAAATTATTTTCAGTCATAATTGTGAAATGAAACAAATAATAAGAATGGCCAGAAAATAGATTCAGGTGGGTAGGCGTGTTGGCCTGAAGTAGCAGAGCAAAGTTTGGTCTTAAAGGTGCCCCTGGACCCAGACTTTGTTTCAGTGGCCAGAAAAGAAATGCAGACAGTGAAAGAGATTCTTTTATTTAACTTTGTGTACATAATCATGCCAGTAAAAAAAATAATCAAATTTCAACATGAGAGCTGGGTACAAGGAAAGGAAAAGAGAAAAACTAGATTACTGGAGAAAATGACCTGCGGGCTGGCAATTACTGTAATAGCGATCAGTGTGCTGGTTTGGTTGCTTCAGTCTTGGAGAAAGGCATTCTAGAGTGCTTTTTCCCATGCTCATAATTCCCTGCTCCCTAGTGGCAGCAGCCCATTTAAAAAAAATAATTTTTTTTTAAATAAGAAGAAAGACAATCAGCAGGATGCTGGTTTCTAGGGGGCCCCCCTTCAAAGGCCTTCCTCAAGCTGCACCCGGGGTGAAGTGCACCCCCTGCCTTGCCCTTGGCATGCCAATAGGCCTCTCTTCCTGTCACTGCTATTGTAAAGGTGGCCTTTTCTTTCTCCTTGTTGAAGCGTTAAAACATTTCAGAGCATTAGATCTGGAAAAGAGAGAGTGGTCCATCCAGACTGGCAACTTTCATACATTCTTCCTGGGGTTGCGAACTCCAGGTTCAGAAATTCCTGGAGACTTATGGATAGAGCCTGGGGAGGACAGAGTTTGCAAAAGAGAGAGGCTTCTTTGGGGTGTTGTGGTTAAGTGCGCGGACTCTAATCTTGGACAACTGGGTTTGATCCCTCACTCCTCCACTTGCACCTGGCTGGATGACCTTGGGCAAGCCATAGTTCTGATAAGAGCTGTTCTTGAAAAAGAGCAGTTCCTGTCAAGAGCTCTCTCAGCCCCACCTACCTCACTGTGTGTCTGTTGTGGGGAGGGGAAGGGAAAGGAGTTTGTAAGCCGCTCTGAGACACCTTTGGGTAGTGAAGGGCAGGGTATAAATCCAATATCTTCTTCTCTTCTCTTCTTCCTCCCTCTGAAGCTGTCATTTTCTCCAGAGGAACTGACCTTCAGGGTCTGGAGATGAGTTGTAATTCTGGGAGAACTCCAGCCCTCAACTGGAGGTTGGCAACCCTAATTCCCCCCCTTTCCAAGATGGGGCAACATAATGCCAGTAGGGAGAGCAAGCAAGAGAAGGAAGATGAAGAAGGGATGAGCAGGAGGAACAGGTGTGGGCTTGGCCCCCTGGGACATATGTTTATGGTGTTGGTTTTAGAGAAAGATTGTAGACAGCCACCTTGAATGCATAATAAATTAGCCGGGTGGCAGCCATTGTGCACAGGCTGCGTTCCTTCAGTGACTGCCTTCATCCATTTATATCATTTGGTCATGCTGTGTGTTTTAACTATCTGTTCTTGCTGCCATTTTTGCACTTCATATTGCAGTCTGTCCCAAATGGGCGAAGCTCCGTAAAAACCACAAGGAGAAAAAGTCGGTGGTGATGCTGACAATCTGCAGTTCTGCCCTCCGTTGTCTGGAACTCATCAAGTAGGTCATTGAACCTGGCGCCCCTTCTTGAGGCTTTGTCTGAAATCCTAGGCACAAAGGTCAAGGCAGGGCACCGTGTTCCACTAGCCTAGTCTAGGACTGAGCCGCGGATGCAAATGCCCTTGCCCCTACTTGAAGTAGTTAGATAACTGCACATTGCAAATGGAAAATCAAGTTTACTCCTTAAAGAGGCAGAACTTGTGGCATGCTGTATCGGGCTAGGTTTGCAAGGCATCAGGTGTGTTGCTCCATCGGCACTCTTGCTGTTTTCTTTTCCTTTTCTTTTTTTAAAGAGGAGTGATCATATGCAAAGGAGGATGGAGGTCCCTTACCTGTAGTGTGTGTGTGTGTGTGTGTGTGTGCGCGTGTGTGTTAAGTGTCATCAAGTCACTTCTGCCAATTGTTGACCCCATGAGTTAATGTCCATTAAATGTCCAATAAAATGTTAGGGGAAATAATGGGAGTACAAATTCCCCTCGAACCTGAATTGTGTTTACTGAATATGATTCCAGAGACGTATGGGAAAGTAGAAAAAAATTTGTTGGTACATTGTTTTACGGCTGCTAGGATTTTGTATGCCAAGTATTGGAAAGAGGGAAAAATTCCAGAAAAGATTGAAGTTATACAGAAGATATTTGAAGTGGCGGAAATGGATAAATTATCATGTACATTAACGGGGAAGGATGATTTGATTTTTGAAAATTTTTTGGGAAAGACTGTATAATTGGAAACGAAATACGAAGGGTTAGGAATGTTTTTGTTTGCTGTGTTTGAAAGGAAAAGGGAAAGAGGCTGTATGCTCATCTGTCATGAAGCGAAGAAATAGCTGATTGTTGGATTTATTTTGGAAAATGTAATAAAGATACTTTAAAAAAAGTGTTAATGCCCTCCAAAACATCCTATTGTTAGGAGCCATTCTCATGTCTTGCAAACTGAGGGCTGTGGCTTCTTTTACTGAATCGATCCATCTCATCTTAGGTCTTTCTCTCTTCCTGCTGCCTTCAGTTTTCCCAGAATTATAGTATTTTCTAGAGACTCTTGTCTTCTCATAATGTGGCCACAGTACAGTAGCCTCGGTTGAGTCATTTTAACTTCTGGGGAGAGTTCAGGCTTGATTTGATCAAGAAGCCACTTATTTGTCTTTTGGCAGTCCATGGTATCAAACTCTCCTCCAGCACCACATTTCCAAGGAATCTACTTTCTTCCTATCAGCTTTCTTCATTGACCTGCAATAATTGTACAAAAAAACATTCATCAGATGGAGTTTACCTTTGCTGATGCTGAACTTGTGTTCTACGCAGCTCTCAAAGGGTACAGGAGCCCTGTCTCCTTGACACAGACGTAGGCAATAAACAATTTAAAATGTGTCTTATGGAAGGTTGGAGTTAAAAGTGGGTCTCAGGTGTGAAACCGTTGCAGGCTACTTCTGTGCTGGAAACATTACTATGCACTGACAGCTAGTAAACTTGCCTTTTGTTTTAGCTCATTTTTTCTTGGTCATGTATTGTATTAATTACTTCAAAGTGCTTTCTTTTCTAGGTCAATAACTGCATTCAAAGGGGATGGCAAAGTTATGAAATTGTTTGCAAAGCACATAAAGGTAAGGGTGGAGGCTATTTTATACACTTGCACCGTGGCCTTTCACTGTCCCCAAACTCTTGAGCAGCATTTGAGCAGCCAGCTCCCTTGGCAGAGTGGGAATTTAAACCTGGGTCTTCCAGGTCCTATTCAGGTCTTAAAACCACTATCCCATGTTCTCTGTGCCATTAGGGAGTCTTCTGCAATAATGGCTCTCAAGGGTAATTCTTCACAGTGGGTCTTCCAAGAGCTCCACCAAGATTTGTTTTGATTTACTATTCCATCACTCTTTTCCTTACAGGACCCTCAAAGACAGCCTACTGCTTTGATGTTTTAGAGAAATAACCAACACTCATGCCTTTGGCTATATATATGTCTTTCACAGGGGTCTTTCCATAGAAAAAGAGCTGCAGGAGCTCATTAGCATATGCTAATTAGCATAGCATATGCTAATGAGCTACTGGGCTATTAGCATATGCCACGCCCCCTGACATCACCGGAAGTGATGGCAGAAGGGGAAGCAAAAGGGGGGGAGGCATCTTCAAAAGCCTCCCCTCCCCTCCCCTTGGGG